TTACAAGAATGTTTATGTAAGAACTGTGAAAAAAAGCCCATATTTACCTACAAAGACACACTGTCGCTGAACTTGTCCTAGCTCAATAATAGAGCGCTCCAGTCCTCAAGCTATATCGGTTGTCGTGCAGATCAAATCTGGAACAATTTGATCCCTACGACCTGGTGTGGTTGTATACCAAGGTATATAATAATAAAAAAGAAGACTAAGCACCCGAGGCAATAAAGAGTCCATAGAGCCCCGCTATGTCGTTAGTAGCCAAGTCCATCACGTCTCATTAGTAGTCCGGCAAGGAACACGCAGCGCCTACAGATCGCCACAAATTGGACATCTACCTAATACCCAGCTCTTCTCACTTCCACAGGAATATCGAAGTCAACGTATCATGGGTAGAAATTTGCACTATGTGCTGTTATATAATTTAACAATAGTTTTACTGGGGTGATAAAAGTAAATTTCATTGTACTAATGCATATTTAAAGGGAAAGATGCCTCTCTTGGTATCTGAATAATATCCTCCTACAACTTGATAGTGTACTTCTCTTTATATTATAAGGAAATTAGGAAATATTTTCAAAGTGCTAAGGCCATATAGCAGTCTTTTCAGTTAATCAACGGAGTAACAAGAGTCATCACTTCCAATAGTTTATTTCCAGTAGTGATCGAAAATAAATTCAATTCACAGTTTTAAAAAATAGCAAAAAATTATAGAAATACATATGGGTATTAGGTACTATATCTGAGACTATAATTACCTGGACTATATAAAGTATGAGAAGAATACCTTCTATTTTAACGATTTTGCAAAATTTATGCCATGTTTGTCTTTCCCCAGGACCATAAGAATGAAGCTACAAGAGCTATAAGCTTCATTCTATGGTTCTGTAGAAGGACAAAAACATGTCAGAACGATTACAAAGTTGTGAATCAACAAAACAAATTATTTCCCTATTACATTCGGTTCAGTGTTGAATAAATATCGTTTTTTCACAACACAAGGTATATAAGCACCGTCTTTGTACAAGATATTGAATAATTTTTGAGCGATTTTTTCTTTTATGAAGCAACAGTTTTCCCTTACTGTGTGTGCGATTTAAATTATTTATAAACTTTATTTGTAAGTTTTTACGGTAAAGCAGTGTCTGAGGCAAATATGTAAATGTATTTCTATCTCCCTCTAAGCTTATGCCAATTTAATCCAGCAGATCGCTTTTTTAGAGCTCTAACACGGTTTTGAACGATTCTGCTTCTATATGCGACAATGAAGGACGGAATCCTAATTATGGCTATTTAGCAAAATATATGGACGTGAGATTTCAAAACAGTAGAATAAAATATAGATATTTGCATCGAGCAATGTTCTTTCGCAAACAATAAATACAATTTTAAAATTGGGTATATATATATTGCGTATGATATTGTTTTTTACAGCACAATACAACAATGTTGGCAAGTTTCTCTAGAGTGGAATGTCGAGGTGACGAATCCACTCCAGGGCCTCCTCTGTGCACCGGTGGATATCCCAAGTGTTCCCTGGAAGAATCTTCGAGGACAGTCCCTTAGGATATGGTGCATTGTTTGTATTTGTCCACAGTCGCAGTTCTGGTCTGGACTCATGTTCCACTTATTTAGTAGGTAGTTGCATCTACCAGTAGAGGTCCTGATTCTATTGAGGGTTGACCAGGTCCTCCTAGGTAGGTTGTAGCCGGGAGGTTTGGTGTTAGGGGTCCTCCACCAGGTCTTTGTTGGCGATGGCAAGATTGCTCCATCGGTTTCTCCACTCTTCTTTAAGATCTACATTTTCATCGGCCACCCATGCAGGATTCCTTGATATTAGTCGAGTTGGGGGAGGAATTTCGAGAACAGTGTTGATTGGAAGCTTAGTGTTAGCTTTAATTTTACTGAGAAGGTTGGAGGTAGATTTCTTTCTTCTGAGGTCAGGAGGTGCTATGTTAGAGAGATATGGGAGCCAGTCTATAGGGGTAGGTCTCATGTTTCCCGTTATTAATCTCATAGTTTGGTTAAGTTGAGCATCTATGCTGTCTGTATGGGAGCTTCTTTCCCACACAGGGGCGCAGTACTCCGCAACTGAGTATACTAAGGCGAGGGCAGTCGTGCGTAGAGTGTCAGCACCACAGCCCCCACGTGGTGCCTGCCAACCTAGTCATGATATTATTCCTTGTTTTTAATTTATCTCTCGTTTTTTCAAGGTGTTGGCGAAAAGTGAGAGATCTATCAAGGGTTACTCCCAGATATTTGGGGCATGGATCATGGCTGAGTGGTTTGTTGCAGAATGTGAGTTTCAAGGGTCTATTGGCTTTATGGTTATTCAGATGGAATACTGATGAGACTGTCTTGGAAGGGTTGGGAATCAGGTGCCATTTTGAGAAGAAATTCTCCAATTTCTTTAGGTCTTCATTGAGTATCTGTTCCAGAGTTGAGAAAGATTGTTCTTGGTGAAGAAGAGCTATATCATCAGCATACAGAAATTTTTGAGAATTAGTAGCTGGGATATCAGCAGTGTAGACATTAAATAGTAAGGGAGCAAGAACTGACCCCTGTGGCAGTCCGTTATTTAGGGTGCGAGGTCTGCTTTTTTTGTTGTTGAGGTGTACTGTTATTTTCCTGTTGGTGAGAAAATTATTTATTAGTTTGATGATATTTTTACAGTTGATTATTTTGGATAGTTTGTATAATAATCCCTCTCTCCAAACTGTATCGTATGCGGCGGTTAGGTCCACAAAAACTGCTCCAGTTTTTAATTTTTTCTGGAATCCATCTTCAATTGTGGTTGTTAGTGCCAGGGTTTGCTCTGCACAGTTTCTCCCTGGTCTAAAGCCTGCTTGTTCTATGGGTAAGTACTCTTCTATGATAGGTGATATTCTGTTGAGAATGATTCTTTCCAAGATTTTATAAGGAATGCAGAGGAGTGATATTGGCCGGTAATTGTTAGGGTCATCTGAGGTCTTTCCTGGTTTCAATATTGCCAGGACCTTGGCTTGTTTCCACACTGATGGAATGGAACCTGTTGATAGGATGTTGGTGAACAGTTTTGCCATCCATTTTATGGCCTTTTGGCCTAGGTGTTTCATAAATTCTGGCATGATACCATCTGGTCCCGGGGCGCGATTGTTGTGTGTTACTTTAATCGCATCTTCTACTTCATTAAGATCTATATTGGTTGATAACTGTGGGTGAGTTGAAGATTTACTCAAATTGGTCCCAATGACTTTTTTAAGCCTGCTTTTTTCTGAGGGGTTCGGATGTATCCTGGATTTACTTGAGATACAAGTTGCTATTTTATTTGGGTTGGTTAGTTGGTTGTGTTTATGAGGGGGGTCAGCACCACCAAGTTTTCTCAAGAGGGACCAGCTTTTCCTACTTGATTTGCTGAAATCCATTTGTTCAAGCATGGTGTGCCATCTGTGTTTTCTTGAATCGTCTAAGGATCTGATGAGGTTTTCAGCTGTTTCTGTATTTCCTGAGAGGTTATATTCCTGATAAAGTCTTTCAGATTCTGGTGACCAGCATGGTATATAGATTTTTCTATGTCCCCGGGGGATAAATTTTTTGGCACATGATATTATTAGATTTGAGGCTCTAGAGTAATTTTTAGGGGTTGGAGGGATTAGGTTGATATTATCCTCAATATACTTGGTGAAGGCTTCCCAATTAGCCTTTCCAAGATTCCACCGTGGGATTGGAGCGCTATCAATTTGTGGGATCTGTATGCCCATTTCGTATATTGATGGGCAATGTTGGCTTTTGGGAAATTTGGTTAGAATTTTATGAGCAATTTGGATGGGATTGTCACATTGGTCTTTTGTTACAAAGCACAGGTCAGGAGAGTATGTTTTACCCCAGCGTGCAGATTGAAAGGTGCCTTGCTTTTTTGCATCGAATATTAATTGCATTTCATTTATTTCCATCCAGTCGTTTAGGCTTTCTCCTTCATTATCAGTTGAGGAATAACCCCACAGGGTATGGTGGGAGTTGAAATCTCCCAAAACAATGGCTGGATGTTGAGGAGAAGGTAGTGATGTTGGGATCCATAACTGTGAAGGAGGCTTGTACACATTGTATATAGACAAATCATTGATTTGTATTCCTATAGAGTGAGATGTTTCTGGAGCACTTTTGTTTCTTCTCTTAGCTTGTAGGTGATGTAAATTGCCAGACCAAATTTTGGGTGAGGTTTTGAACAGATGATGACATATCCAGGTATGCGGATGGCAGATTTGGAGTTTTCAGGTGTGTGGGTTTCCTGGAGTGCAATGACATCCGCTTTGTGCTCTCTCATCATTTTCTCGATGATTTCGCCCTTGGCTCTGGTAAAGCCTTCAACATTCAGTTGGAGAATCTTTAGATCTTTCTGGGTTGGAGACTGTAGCTTTTTTTCCTTATCTTGCCCTCTTCCTAAACAAGATAGGCGTCCCTTGTTTGACCGGGCGACGGACGAGCCGGCATGAGTACTATTTTTTGTCCGATTCATTAGTGCTGTAAAGACCAGGATATCCTAAAGGATATTTGGTCATCAGTTGGTGATATCTGTCGATCAAAAGATCTAGCCCGAGGGCGCATGCCGGCCATCACCTTCCTCGGAAGAAGCCGCTCCTAATATGGAGGACAGACGCTTCATCAGCCGTTCCTAACATGGATGCAGACGCTGGAGTAGTTGTTGTTGGCTACAGCCTTTGGTTGATTACATGGCGGGCTGGACTCGCCATTTGACTCAGAGTCGTCATTGGGCTTAAATTGGGTATAAATAATTATAAGGAAATATCTCGCCATTTATAGAGAAGAAATAAAACTATCAAGTGCTTTTTTAAATAAAATAAACTTCTACTGTAAAACAACACTTGAAGTTACACCGCATGAGTTTCTTTTCAATGAAAAATCAATATTTATTTCAAGGTGAAATACTGACTATTTCTAACCTTTTTGGATGAGGTATGAAAGGGTGAATTATGAAGAGTAATGATGAACGGAAAAATAAAAGTGTCCAGGGATGGGAATCGAACCCACAATGTTCCGCTTACCGGGCAGATGGCATGTCCACTAGGCTACCCTGGACGTATTTTTTCCGTTCGTAAATAATACATAAAGTAACTTATAATACAATATAATTCATTGCGGCCTGTGATTGTAAAACGACACTTGATGATTATACTGTCTTCTACTGTTTTTGCTGAGATGAAAAATAGTTAGGGGGGGATGGGTCTTGGCTCATCTGCGGTGAACTCTTCAAGCGTGTTTGCGAAAGAGCATGGCTCGATGCAAATATCTTTTCTAAGATAGCATAACTAAGATTCCATGCTACAACGTCGCATTTATAAGCAGGATCGTTGAATGCGGTATTAGAGCTATAAAAACCCTTCTGGTTTTCATCGCTAGAAGTACATTAGAAGGTTTTATTATTATATTGTCTCTTAAAATTAACATATTATTACAATAAAAAGACTAAAAATCCTTAGTTTCCTTGAGTATCTCAACCAAGAATCCGTTTCTAGTGCCGGATATATAAGCCCAATAAAATATTAGATTAAATCAACAAATGCTCACCACTTATGAGACATTCCTCTTAATATTTTTTTTCAACGTAGTTAGAATGGTAGGAATCTAGTTCAGTTATAAAATAAAAATTCCAAATATAGTTTGATTTTTATGAATAAATATATCTAATTCTGCATATTCTAGATGAAGAAAATGGAAAAAAATCCGCTTATATTAATTTTAGAGAAATAAAGAGAATTATGAAAATGTTCACATACATATCTGGGAGAGACAAATGACAAATAACATAGTTTATTGACATCCCGTCGAAATATAGGCAAAGTGCACAGTCCGCACTATTTAAGTAGAGATAAAAATTTACAATGATGATGATTATAATAATAATAATAATAAAATATATATATGGTAATTTAAGCCAACAACCCCATATTGTATATAACTTATAACAAGATTTTATGTTGTATAATAGAAACACATCTGTAAATGATTATACGCATTATTGACATGTGTCATTACATCATCATATGTATTGTACTTTGTACAAACTGAGGATAAATAAATAAAACTCTGTAATAGATTAAGAGTTGAGCTAAAGAGAATAGAAGTCAAAAACGTCTAAATTCGAGATAGATGGAAGTCACAAAACAACAAGGTCTAAAAATGGAAACTGCCACGGCGCCAGTTTAGTTTTTCACCAGACGATCCACACCCTTCGTATCTGGTGAAATGCAACACTCCCTTTCTCGGAAAATATATAAAAGGCCCGTCTTTAGCTAAATATACAGTCACTTCTACAGTCAGTTCATCATCTGCGTGAGCCCTCGTCGGTTGTACACCAGGTCCACCTCATCCACCATGTAGACCAGTAAGAACTCTTCTATCTCCATATTTTGCTCCTAGCTCAACTTTTATCTGTTCACGGAACTTTCTTAGTGCAAATGTGTCTTCTTTTTTTGTGTGGACATCCCCAAGCTTTCCACTCTGCCTCGACCACGACTGCCTGTACTCTGTGAGAACTGCTAAAGGTCTTACAAAGTGCAGAGAGGTACTGGAAAACTCCCCATCCTGACTGTTCCTCTCGGTCAACACAGTATAGCGAGAGTCACAGGGACTCACACCATAGATTAAGTCGACTGGATACTTCACCACAGTTTTAGTCGACAAGATTCTACAAGAGGCACCAGACCTCACCACATATATATACTTTTTACCTGAGAGAAAGAGATAAAAATAATCACCAATCCATAACCTTGGCGTGAGGTATTTAAGGGGAAAATGGGAAATAATAAAAATTTAAAATTGTTTGTGCAATAAATTTCGAAAAATAATATATCAATTTATAAATACTTTTGATAAAACCAAATCGTGATACAATAATTTGAATTTTACATGATAGAATTTTTTAAATAATATTTTATAAATTGGGTTTGTGATATTTTCAGACCACAGTAGTTGAGAAAAGGACAAAACAAGTAAGGTAAATGACCATCAGTAGAGAAAGCAACAATATCATGACCACGTATCAGCCTTAGATAAAGCAACAATGACACGACCCCGTATCAGCCTTTGAGAAAGCAACAATGACATGACCACCTATCAGCCTTAGAGAAAGCAACAATAGCATGACCACGTATCAGCCTTAGATAAAGCAACAATGACATGACCACGTATCAGCCTTAGAGAAAGCAACAATGACATGACCACGTATCAGCCTTAGATAAAGCAACTATATCATGACCACGTATCAGCCTTAGAGAAAGCAACAATGACATGACCACGTATCAGCCTTAGAGAAAGCAACAATGACATGACCACGTATCAGCCTTAGAGAAAGCAACAATGACATGACCACGTATCAGCCTTAGAGAAAACCCCAATGAAATGACCACCTATCAGCCTTAGAGAAAACCCCAATGACATGACCACCTATCAGCCTTAGAGAAAGCACAATGACATGACCACGTATCAGCCTTAGATAAAGCAACACTGACATGACCACGTATCAGCCTTAAAGAAAGCAACAATGACATGACTACGTATCAGTCTTAGAGAAAGCAACAATGACATGACCACGTATCAGCCTTAGAGAAAGCAACAATGACATGACCACGTATCAGCCTTAGAGAAAACCCCAATGACATGACCACCTATCAGCCTATAGAAAGAAACAATGACATGACCACCTATCAGCCTATAGAAAGAAACAATGACATGACCACCTATCAGCCTATAGAAAGAAACAATGACATGACCACCTATCAGCCTTAGAGAAATCATCAATCACATGACCACCTATCAGCCTTAGAGAAAGAAACAATGACATGACCACGTATCAGCCTTAGAGAAAGCAACAATGACATGACCACCTATCAGCCTTAGAGAAATCACCAATGACATGACCACCTATCAGCCTTAGAGAAAGAAACAATGACATGACCACGTATCAGCCTTAGAGAAAGGAACAATGACATGACCACGTATCAGCCTTAGAGAAATCACCAATGACATGACCACCTATCAGTCTTAGAGAAAGGAACAAAGACATGACCAAGTATCAACCTTAGAGAAATCACCAATTACATGACCACCTATCAGCCTATAGAAAGAAACAATGTCATGACCACCTATCAGCCTTAGAGAAAGAAACAATCACATGACCACGTATCAACCTTAGAGAAAGAAACAATGACATGACCACGTATCAGCCTTAGAGAAAGCAACAATGACATGACCACGTATCAGCCTTAGAGAAAACCCCAATGACATGACCACCTATCAGCCTTAGAGAAAACCCCAATGACATGACCACCTATCAGCCTTAGAGAAAGCAACAATGACATGACCACGTATCAGCCTTAGATAAAGCAACAATGACATGACCACGTATCAGTCTTAGAGAAAGCAACAATGACATGACCACGTATCAACCTTAGAGAAAACCCCAATGACATGACCACCTATCAGCCTATAGAAAGAAACAATGACATGACCACCTATCAGCCTATAGAAAGAAACAATGACATGACCACCTATCAGCCTATAGAAAGAAACAATGACATGACCACCTATCAGCCTATAGAAAGAAACAATGACATGACCACCTATCAGCCTATAGAAAGAAACAATGACATGACCACCTATCAGCCTTAGAGAAATCATCAATCACATGACCACCTATCAGCCTTAGAGAAAGAAACAATGACATGACCACGTATCGGCCTTAGAGAAAGCAACAATGACATGACCACCTATCAGCCTTAGAGAAATCACCAATGACATGACCACCTATCAGCCTTAGAGAAAGAAACAATGACATGACCACGTATCAGCCTTAGAGAAAGGAACAATGACATGACCATGTATCAGCCTTAGAGAAATCACCAATGACATGACCACCTATCAGTCTTAGAGAAAGAAACAAAGACATGACCACGTATCAGCCTTAGAGAAATTACCAATTACATGACCACCTATCAGCCTATAGAAAGAAACAATATCATGACCACCTATCAGCCTTAGAGAAAGAAACAATGACATGACCACGTATCAACCTTAGAGAAAGAAACAATAACATGACCACGTATCAGCCTTAGAGAAAGCAACAATGACATGACCACGTATCAGTCTTTGAGAAAGCAACAATGACATGACCACGTATTAGCCTTAGAGAAAGAAACAATGACATGACCACGTATCAACCTTAGAGAAAGCAACAATGACATGACCACCTAACAGCCTTAGAGAAAGCAACAATGACATGACCACGTATTAGCCTTAGAGAAAGAAACAATGACATGACCACCTATCAGCCTTAGAGAAAGTAACAACACCACCGACCATCAGTAGAGAAAACAATAATGACATGATTACCGATCAACAGTATAGATGACAACAATAAAATGACCATCGACAAGCAGTAGAGATAACAACAATAACATGGCCACTTTCCTATAGAAGACGAAACAATAATAACATGACCATTGACAAGCAGTAGAGAAAACAATAATGACATGATTACCGGCCAACAGTATAGATAACAACAATGAAATGGCCACCGACCAAAAGTATAGATAATAACAACAACATGATAACCGACCAACAGTATAGATGACATTAATAAAATGGCCACCAACCAACAGTATAGATAACAACAATAAAACATGGTCACCGAACAGCAGTATAGATGACAACAATAACATGGCCACCGACCAGCAGTAGAGATAGAAAAATAACATGGCCCCGATAAGCATAGGAGAAAACAACAATGACATGACCACCCACCAATAGTAGAGAAAACAACAATGACATAGCCAACGACAAGCAGTAGAGATCACAGCAATGGCATAACCACTGACCAACAGTAGAGAAAACACAATAATATGTCTAAAGACCAACTTTATTGAAAACAACAATGATTAACCACATACCAACAGTAGAGAAAACAACAATGACATGATCTGTCTAAAGACAAACTTTAGAGAAAACAACAATGACCTACCACATACCAACAGTAGAGAAAACACAATGATATGTCTAAAGACCAACTTTATTGAAAAAAA